AATATCAGTTACAATCCTCTCGTTAATACGTTAACTTCTCAAACAGATGCAGGCTTGTGTTATCAGTTACAATCCTCTCGTTAATACGTTAACTTCCCAAACAGATGCAGGCTTGTGTTATCAGTTACAATCCTCTCGTTAATACGTTAACTTCTCAAACAGATGCAGGCTTGTGTTATCAGTTACAATCCTCTCGTTAATACGTTAACTTCCCAAACAGATGCAGGCTTGTGTTATCAGTTACAATCCTCTCGTTAATACGTTAACTTCCCAAACAGATGCAGGCTTGTGTTATCAGTTACAATCTTTCGTTTATACGTTTATTTTCCAAACAGGTGCAGGGTTGTGTTTCAAGTACAATCCTGTCCTTTACTCTGTAACAAAATATTAACTGGGGGCATTGAAGAAATCTATTGTTTATTGTGCCGTCATCTTCTTGTTGACTTGTTGGTTAGCAGTGCCACAAAAACTAACTGTCAATGTTAGCACACATGTGAGCTGTACGTCTAGATAACCTGTTGTGTTAGCAGTGCCACACTAACAAACTGTCAGTGTTAGCACACATGTGAGCCGTACGTCTAGATAACCTGTTGTGTTAGCAGTGACACACTAACATACTGTCAGTGTTAGCAAACATATGAGCTGTTCGTCTAGATAACCTGTTGTGTTAGCAGTGCCACACTTACCAACTGTCAGTGTTAGCAAACATGTGAGCCGTACGTTTAGATAACCTGTTGTGTTAGCAGTGCCACACTTACCAACTGTCAGTGTTAGCAAACATGTGAGCCGTACGTTTAGATAACCTGTTGTGTTAGCAGTGCCACACTTACCAACTGTCAGTGTTAGCAAACATGCGAGCCGTACGTTTAGATAACCTGTTGTGTTAGCATTGCCACACTAACAAACTGTCCATGTTAGCAAACATATGAGCCGTACGTTTAGATAACCTGTTGTGTTAGCAGTGCCACACTAACAAACTGTCCATGTTAGCACACATGTGAGCCGTACGTCTAGATAACCTGTTGTGTTAGCAGTGCCACACTAACAAACTGTCCATGTTAGCAAACATATGAGCCGTACGTTTAGATAGCCGGTTGTGTTTTCTTTACAGTGAAGCTGACTCGGCCGTCCAGACTCAAGGTCTACTTGATGCCGCACTCACACAACGACCCTGGCTGGCAGAGGACGGTCAACGACTACTTCTCGGGCACTACCAGGCACATCCTCAACAACATGGTCAGCAAACTGACCCAGTTCCCCAACATGACCTTCATTTGGACTGAGATTGTCTTTTTCTCAATGTGGTGGAACGAACTTGACGACGGGGTCAAGGTAACCGAAAGCCGTCCTGTAGTGTTATTGCTTTGTTGTTGTTGTTGTTTTTGTTGTTTTTATTGTTGTTATTGTTGGTGATGATGATGATGATGATGTTGTTAATGATGATGATTATGATGACTGTTATACTGAAGAGTTATGTAAATATTAGAGAATATGTATGTATGTATGTATGTATGTATGTATGTATGTATGTATGTATGTATGTATGTATGTATGTATGTATGTATGTATGTATGTATGTATGTATGTATGTATGTATGTATGTATGTATGTATGTATGTATGTATGTATGTATGTATGTATGTGTGTATGTATGTATGTATGTATGTATGTATGTATGTATGTATGTATGTATGTATGTATGTATGTATGTATGTAGGTAGGTAGGTAGGTAGGTAGGTAGGTAGGTAGGTAGGTAGGTAGGTAGGTAGGTAGGCAGGCAAGCAGGCAGGCAGGCAGGCAGGCAGGCAGACAGGCAGGCAGGCAGGTAGGCAGATAGGTAGGTAGGTAGGTAGGAAGGTAGGTAGGTAGGAAGGTAGGTAGGTGTGTGTGTGTGTAGGTAGGTAGGTAGGTGTGTGTGTGTGTGTGTAGGTAGGTAGGTAGGTAGGTAGGTATGTAGGTATGTAGGCAGGTATGTGTGTATGTGTGTGTGTATGTGCATGTATGTATGTATGTATGTATGTATGTATGTATGTATGTATGTATGTATGTATGTATGTATGTATGTATGTATGTATGTATGTATGTATGTATGTATGTATGTATGTATGTATGTGTGTGTGTGTGTGTGTGTGTGCATGTATAAAAAGGTAAAGTCGATAGATGTGAACCAGTTTCATTGCACATGGTTATAAACCATAAGTGCTCTGCCACCAGTACGGACAGCTGATAAGAAACTGGCCGCCAGTGTCACCATACGCACGTAGCTCTGTAGCTACAGCGACGTTCCTCCATTTATCCCAGAGTGTCAACTCTGATACCCATTTCCTAAAGGCTGGGTTAACCTCATAAAACCGCCCGGTTTTGAACGTCCACCGTGTCTGCAGCGAGTGGCAGCTGGATTTGAAAGAGAGTCTCCTATCGACTGCGCATGTGTATGAATGTATTTATGTATTTATGTATGTGTATTTGACTGCTGGTTTATATATTTATTGTCGGTGTATTTGACCTCTAATTTTGTAATGGATTCGGTCTTGTATTTTCAAAATCATTCAAATAGGGTCTTCGTCTGTTTTCTTCTTCCTAGAAGGCAAACAAATAAGAGGACTGTCTGGACTCGTCTGCTTGTATTTACGGTTCTAGGACAAGGACGATGGCCATATGTTGAGTACATTATGAGGAAAAGTGGACAGAGAATTACTAAGCAGGCTCTGAAATAGGAAACAGACAGACTAAGGAAACTATGACTCCCAGAAAGATGCCAGGACACATTTGATGAGAGAAACCAAAGTGAATATTCTGAAGATTTAACAGCATGAAACTGACAGAAGGAATGGTCTGTCAGCAACATGTGATCACTAATTACCAGCAGGATTGTGCATGGTATTCCTCTGTGTTATTTTTGATTTATTTTTGCTGCAAGGCATTGTTGGTATCTAGTGTTGTTAATGTGTCTTGTCAAGGCATTGTTGGTATCTAGTGTTGTTAATGTGTCTTGTCAAGGCATTGTTGGTATCTAGTGTTGTTAATGTGTCTTGTCAAGGCATTGTTGGTATCTAGTGTTGTTAATGTGTCTTGTCAAGGCATTGGTGGTATCTAGTGTTGTTAATGTGTCTTGTCAAGGCATTAGTGGTATCTAGTGTTGTTAATGTGTCTTGTCAAGGCATTGGTGGTATCTAGTGTTGTTAATGTGTCTTGTCAAGGCATTGGTGGTATCTAGTGTTGTTAATGTGTCTTGTCAAGGCATTGGTGGTATCTAGTGTTGTTAATGTGTCTTGTCAAGGCATTGGTGGTATCTAGTGTTGTTAATGTGTCTTGTCAAGGCATTGGTGGTATCTAGTGTTGTTAATGTGTCTTGTCAAGGCATTGATGGTATCTAGTGTTGTTAATGTGTCTTGTCAAGGCATTGGTGGTATCTAGTGTTGTTAATGTGTCTTGTCAAGGCATTGGTGGTATCTAGTGTTGTTAATGTGTCTTGTCAAGGCATTAGTGGTATCTAGTGTTGGTAATGTGTCTTGTCAAGGCATCGGTGGTATCTAGTGTTGTTAATGTGTCTTGTCAAGGCATTGATGGTATCTAGTGTTGTTAATGTGTCTTGTCAAGGCATTGGTGGTATCTAATGTTGTTAATGTGTCTTGTCAAGGCATTGATGGTATCTAGTGTTGTTAAATTAATGTGTCTTGTCAAGGCATTAGTGGTATCTAGTGTTGTTAATGTGTCTTGTCAAGGCATCGGTGGTATCTAGTGTTGTTAATGTGTCTTGTCAAGGCATTGATGGTATCTAGTGTTGTTAATGTGTCTTGTCAAGGCATCGGTGGTATCTAGTGTTGCTAATGTGTCTTGTCAAGGCATCGGTGGTATCTAGTGTTGTTAATGTGTCTTGTCAAGGCATCGGTGGTATCTAGTGTTGTTAATGTGTCTTGTCAAGGCATTGATGGTATCTAGTGTTGTTAATGTGTCTTGTCAAGGCATTGGTGGTATCTAGTGTTGTTAACGTATCTTGTCAAGGCATTGGTGGTATCTAGTGTTGCTAACGTGTCTTGTCAAGGTATCGGTGGTATCTAGTGTTGTTAATGTGTCTTGTCAAGGCATTGGTGGTATCTAGTGTTGTTAATGTGTCTTGTCAAGGCATTGGTGGTATCTAGTGTTGTTAATGTGTCTTGTCAAGGCATCGGTGGTATCTAGTGTTGTTAATGTGTCTTGTCAAGGCATTGGTGGTATCTAGTGTTGTTAATGTGTCTTGTCAAGGCATTGGTGGTATCTAGTGTTGTTAATGTGTCTTGTCAAGGCATTGATGGTATCTAGTGTTGTTAATGTGTCTTGTCAAGGCATTGGTGGTATCTAGTGTTGTTAATGTGTCTTGTCAAGGCATTGGTGGTATCTAGTGTTGTTAATGTGTCTTGTCAAGGCATTGATGGTATCTAGTGTTGTTAATGTGTCTTGTTGTTTATGTGTCTTGTTGTTAATGTGTCTTGTTGTTGATGTGTTTTGTTGTTATGGTGTCTTCTTGTTGTTTTATGCATGCCTTTTTGTAAGCTGCTTTGACTTTTCTCTCGATTTTGTCTTCTCTTTGAGGAGTGGACGTTACAAGGTCCTATGTTTTTGTTTGCTCTTGAAAGACTTTGTGCTTCTCAGTCCTATGTTATTGTTTTCTTTCTTTTAAAAGACTTGTCGTTACAAGGTCCTATGTTTTTGTTTGCCCTTGAAAGACTTTGTGCTACTAAGTCCTATGTTATTGTTTTCTTTCTTTTAAAAGACTTGTCGTTACAAGGTCCTATGTTTTTGTTTGCTTTTGAAAGACGTTGTGCTACTAAGTCCTATGTTATTGTTTTCCTTCTTTTAAAAGACTTTTCGTTACAAGGTCCTATGTTTTTGTAATTGTAATTTGGTAAACTTGATCACGTTTTATGTCGTCTAAGCACTTCATTGCTGTATATTCCTGGTGTGTGTTGTTGTTGATGTATGTTCATATGGATATTAACAGGCACCTTTATCATCATTAGGTGCACGTGAAACGTCTGTTGAGGCGAGGACAGCTGGAGATAACCCTGGGAGGCTGGGTGATGCCTGACGAGGCCAGCAGCCACTACATCTCGGTGATTGACCAGCTGATTGAAGGACATCAGTGGCTGTGGGAAAACCTGGGGGTCCGACCAGAAAACAGTTGGTCAATCGACCCGTTTGGCCACTCGAGCACTATGCCGTACTTGTGGAAACGTTCTGGCATGACCAACATGGTCATCCAGAGAGTCCACCAAGCTGTGAAGGCATCATTAATAAAAGAAAAAGCTTTAGAATTTAACTGGCGTCAAATGTGGGACATGACCGGCTCCACTGATATCTTCTGCCATGTCATGCCCTACATGTTATACAACATCAAGTACACTTGTGGGCCTAACACCTTCTCATGTCTGCACTTTGATTTCCGAGCCATCCACGGAGAGACGTCCGAGTCACTAGCCACGGAAGTTACCGATGGCAACGTGGAGAGCAGTGCGGAGATGCTCTACCGTCAGTACAGGGCTAAGGCCAATTATTTCCGCTACAACACAATTCTGGTGCCCATTGGTGATGACTTCCGCTACGACAGGGAGGTCGAATGGGATCAACAGTACAACAATTATCAGAAGCTAATTCAGTTCATGAATTCTAAGCCTGAATGGAACATTCACGTCCAATGGGGCACTCTGAAACATTACTTCCAGAATGTTGAGGATGAACGCAACAAACGGAAATTCCTGGACAAAAATGATGACCCTCCAGTTCTTAGCGGTGACTTCTTTCCATACTCAGATAAAGACATGGCCTATTGGACTGGCTACTTTTCTACTCGTCCATTTGACAAATACTTGAGTCGTGAACTTCAGTCCATTCTCCAGGCGGCAGACATTCTCAACACTTTATACTATGCTGTTAGTAAAAGAAAGAATGGCAAATCGGAGGTTCATTTTTCAACCCAGGCTTCACTTCTACAACAAGCTAGAAGAGCTCTGGGGCTTTTTCTCCACCATGACGCCATAACGGGCACTTCTAAATCTTTTGTGGTGGAAGATTATGAGCAGAACCTCTTTAGGGCTCTTGAGAATGTTCGTGACGTCATGAAGTTCCTTATTCAGTCACTGTTGTCTGATGGTCAAGTGGAGTCACCAGTGGTGTTTCAACCAGAAACGGCCAGAAAGCATTACCAAGGGCTTCCGCAGAAACAGCTGATTTCTGTGGCAGAATCTGGAACAACTGTGGCTTTCTTCAACTCTCTAGCTCATCCACGGCAGCAGGTTGTCCATCTGCTAGTGGACACTCATCATGTGGTGGTCATGTCCAGCACAGCCGAGGTGATTTCTATTGAAATTAGTCCTGAATGGAGCAAAGGGCAAGAGTCTGTGATAATAGAAAATATATTTGAATTATCGTTTATAGCTGACATTAGTCCATTTGCCATTACATCGTACACTTTGTACAGAAGAACTCCCCCGCCTCTTTCAGTACATTTAAAGTCCATAGAAGTCATTAACAGTCCCAGAGGGAAAGTACACAGCTCTGTACATTTTCCTGCAAGCAGCTTAAGGGTCAAGAAAACAGACCCGATAAAAATTGACAATCAAGTAATTCAGCTGACCTTTGACCCAAACACTGGATCCTTGTTTGAGGTAAAGGACATGGTGACTGGAAGAGAACACCAGCTTAACATCAGTTTCCAAGTCTACCAGTCTCGAGGCAGCGGAGCTTATCTCTTCTCTCCAAAAGAAGCGGCCACACCTTTGTTCTCCAACATTCCAACCATGACCATCTCCAGGGGCTCGCTGACAACAACTGTTGTTGTAGACTTTGGCCAGCAAGTGGTTCATACAGTCACCCTGTACCACAAGCCTTCACAGCTGGCTGCAGCCATATTTATTGAAAACCTGGTGAACATTGATCAGCTGAAGGACAAGGAGGTGGTCATGCGACTAGACACAGACATCGACAACCATGATCTCTCCTACTTCACTGACCAAAATGCCTTCCAATTTATTCGCCGTCGTACCAACAAAGATCTGCCTATAGAAGCCAATTATTACCCTATAACATCAGGTGTGGTCCTGGAAGATCCCACATCAAGACTTACCTTGTTGACTGCTCAACCTCACGGAGTTGCCTGTCTAGCTATTGGCCAGGTGGAGCTGATGCTTGACCGACAACTTGTCATGGATGATAAGCGTGGGCTGGGCGAGGGAGTCACAGACATCAAACCCACCATCAGCAGGTTCGTCATCATGATGGAACAGATAACTCTATCGGAGTCATCTACAACATCCTCATCTTATCATACATCCCTGTCTCTGGCATCTCTTGGTGTCTCAGACATGCTGCAGCAACCATTACTGTCTTTCTTCACCAACGTTAACACAACCATATTCTCCAGGACGGTTTCCTTGCTATCATCTCCTGTACCATGTGATCTCAGCATCATTAGCTTTCGTAGTCTAACCACAGGCAGCTTGGACTACAATGGCACCAGTCTCATGCTTCACCGCCGTGGCTACGACTGCAGTTTCCCATCGAACAATCACCTGTGCTCACTGGCCGAGTATCCACTGACCTTTGGCACTCTGCTCACAAAATTTAACCTATCAAACATTTACGAAACTTCGCTGACCCTGACCTCGAACAAAAGGCCAGTTAGCCCCACAGACAAGATCTCCATAGCTCCTATGGAAATTGCAACATTCCATTTTCATTTTTAACAACAATTATTGCTGACAATGGTTCCTCCCAAAACATTGTGCCAGGAAGACTTTGACAGCTAAAACAAAATTTACCAGAAAAACCTTCTGGTTAATTTTCAGTCTGATTGTCAATTGAAAGCTAATGTCTTTTCCAAATCATCAATTTGTGTAAAATATTTGTTTACATCCCAAATGTTTGACTCGTATTTTCAGACTTGAATATTTTCTGTCCTCCATTTTGTTTTATCTAGCTCTTTACGCATTGACTGGAGCAGGTTAGGACGCTTGCCTGCCAATCTGTTGATCAAAGGTTCAAATGTCTGCCATGATGAACTTGTTAAACCTGACAACGAAAGTTGGAAACCAACACCAGGAAATTGTCTGGAAAGTAAATATAGCTGGCAACTGAACCCCTTAAGTGCAGATTAGACTATATAAGTACAGCACAAGCACCATATACCCAGTAGTCCTCAAGCCATGGACACGAGCTCTTTACCCATGCAGATTAGACTATATAAGTACAGCACAAGCACTATATACCCAGTAGTCCTCAAGCCATGGACACGAGCTCTTTACCCATGCAGATTAGACTATATAAGTACAGCACAAGCACTATATACCCAGTAGTCCTCAAGCCATGGACACGAGCTCTTTACCCATGCAAATTAGACTATATAAGTACAGCACAAGCACTATATACCCAGTAGTCCTCAAGCCATGGACACGAGCTCTTTACCCATAGACAGATATTTGCTGTTTATTTCTGCACTTGTTCTTATTCTTGTGTTTCCCTTCTGACTGATGCCCAATGATTGCTAATGTTAACATTCTGATTGATGCCCAATGATTGCTAATGTTAACATTCTGATTGATGCCCAATGATTGCTAATGTTAACATTCTGATTGATGCACAGTGATTGCTAATGTTAACATTCTCATTGATGCACAATGACTGCTAATGTTAACATTCTGATTGATGCCCAATGACTGCTAATGTTAACATTCTCATTAATGCACAATGACTGCTAATGTTAACATTCTGATTGATGCCCAATGATTGCTAATGTTAACATTCTGATTGATGCCCAATGATTGCTAATTTTAACATTCTGATTGATGTCCAATGATTGCTAATGTTAACATTCTGATTGATGCCCAATGATTGCTAATGTTAACATTCTGATTGATGCCCAATGATTGCTAATGTTAACATTCTCATTGATGCACAGTGATTGCTAATGTTAACATTCTCATTGATGCACAATGACTGCTAATGTTAACATTCTGATTGATGCCCAATGACTGCTAATGTTAACATTCTGATTGATACCCAATGATTGCTAATGTTAACATTCTCATTGATGCACAGTGATTGCTAATGTTAACATTCTCATTGATGCACAGTGATTGCTAATGTTAACATTCTCATTGATGCACAATGATTGCTAATGTTAACATTCTGATTGATGCACAGTGATTGCTAATGTTAACATTCTGATTGATGCACAGTGATTGCTAATGTTAACATTCTGATTGATACCCAATGATTGCTAATGTTAACATTCTGACTGATGCCCAATGATTGCTAATGTTAACATTCTGATTGATACCCAATGATTGCTAATGTTAACATTCTCATTGATGCACAGTGATTGCTAATGTTAACATTCTGATTGATGCACAGTGATTGCTAATGTTAACATTATGATTGATACCCAATGATTGCTAATATTAACATTCTGATTTATGCCCTTGATGCCCAATGATTGCTAATGTTAACATTCTCATTGATGCACAGTGATTGCTAATGTTAACATTCTCATTGATGCACAGTGATTGCTAATGTTAACATTATGATTGATACCCAATGATTGCTAATATTAACATTCTGATTTATGCCCTTGATGCCCAATGATTGCTAATGTTAACATTGTCTCTTGATGTCTCTCGGTTCCGGGATGAAATTCTCTCTCTCTCTCTCACTCTCTCTCTCTCTCTCTCTCTCTCTTTCTCTCTCTCTTTCTCTCTCTCTCTCTCTCTCTCTCTCTCTCTCTCTCTCTCTCTCTCTTTTTTAAATAATTTTGTTTAAACTGTTGGTTTAATTCAGGGGTGCTTTTCGGGATCCATCTGTGTGTGCGTGAGTGTGGGTGTGTGCTTGTGTGTTTTGGGGAAGGGGGACTAATGAGTGATTAAAGAATAAACTCCCTGCCTCCTTAACAGGCATGTCGCTGGAGTCAGCTAATTAGGATTTTCCTTCAAAGTCGTTATTTTCGTTTGGGTCACATGGAAGTCAAGATAGTATTTTTAAACACTTTTTTAAATGTGGCAATTGCTTGTCTTGTGACAAGTTTGTTTTCAATGTTCACACTGGTAACTGATAAGCTATAGAGCTCAAAAATGTCCTCACAGGCTCGCCTTGTAGAGGACAATGAAGTGCAGTACAACTATATTCCAGACTTTCTTTTAATTGTGAATGTCTGACTTTAAAAACATGAAATGGTTATTCAGAAAATATATTTTTAAGCTAATTAATCCAGGAGAAAACTGCTTGGCAAGGCGGCTACAAGCTCGCCTGCGGATTCAAAGAACGTGGGTTCAAAAACACATCCAGCTATACTTTTTTTTTAAATGACCACGGCTTCCAGGTCAACACGGCCTAATATGGGCACCAGATAAAAGTCCTGGGAGGCAAATGTGGCCGGCGTTATGGGCCAGTTGGTCTGTAAAATATATGTCTAACACTATATGCCTATTACATTCCTACATGACTTCTTCTCACTTGAGTGAATATGGTTGTTGACACGAGTAAGTGCACCTCCTTTAACATAGTTTGTCTGATCTGAAGCACTAGCAGCCTTTTATTTCTACAGATTTGATCTGCTTACAAATGGGGATTCTTGAATACAGCATACACTGACTTGTTTTTTTTATGCTGTATTTTTTCTAAATCCATCTTTCAGCTGTAGCCAGCCTGCTAACTGTTGACCTTCTCTGCATTACAGTGCATTAAGATGAAAGGCACCTTGGAATCATCTGTATCTAATTTGTTTTGTTCAGTCCCTACCCTCCACAAACTTCTGACCCCATATATGGTCAGAGACATTGGTTTCTAACTTTTGTGTGTGCCATGCCCTACTTAATCCTTCCCTATTCCCCCCCCCCCCCCCCCGCCCCCACCCCTCTCAAAAACTAAAACTCTGAACCAACATTTTTTAATTGTCCCCTTCAACATCAAATCCCCCACCCCCCTCCTTTTTTTTTTTTACGCCCTCTTGTGGGACGTAGGTGGGTTGGGGTTAAGGCCAGTTCTAGATTTTCTGGGGTCGTTAAACGCGCTTACAATCAGAAACATTTTACATATTAGTCAATCTTGAGAGATTTGGGAATGCGGCAATGGGTGCGACGGCGGCAGAAATGACAGACTGTTGTTCTTGTGAAGCGAAATACTGTAATGTTGCAGGAAAGTATTGCTGCTCTTCTTTTCATGCACCGATGCTGCTAATTCAAGGAAATTGATTGCAAAAATTGAACAAACGTCCATGGAGATACACACTGAAAAGCTCAAGACGCCAAAGCCAGAAGGAAGGCGCGAAAACTTTGGCCTTGTAGGAAACGCGCGAAGGCACTGAAACCAGGAAACCAGGCCTTACCACCCTCTAAAATATTGGACTGTTCCGTGACGTCATTTGTGGTCGCCTAAAAATAAAGAACATCCCTTCTGGCCCAGTAGTGTCGTCTTCAAGATTTCTTCACAGGCATAGTGGAACCATCCCTTCACAATGACCTTTGTTGTGCCATCCAGTTTTCCGCTAGGAGTTGAGATCCCAACCTTTCGCTGGATTGCTGGGAAGAACAGGGTCAACCACGTACATGTAAGGTAGGCTTGAGCGAGAGAGGCTACTGTGCATTAGAGGTCTTGTATTGTGCTTTATAAGGATACTGTGGGCTCGTCCTATGGCTGTGCTTTAGGGCCCAATCCTGTCGTGGGAATGCACCGTCTACTGAACACTGTGGTGGGAATTGCACCAAGTCTACTGAACACTGTGGTGAGAATTGCACCAAGTCTACTGAAGACTGTTTTGAGAATTGCACCAAGTCTACTGAACACTGTGGTGAGAATTGCACCAAGTCTACTGAAGACTGTTTTGAGAATTGCACCAAGTCTACTGAACACTGTGGTGAGAATTGCACCAAGTCTACTGAAGACTGTTTTGAGAATTGCACCAAGTCTACTGAACACTGTGGTGAGAATTGCACCAAGTCTACTGAACACTGTGGTGAGAATTGCACCAAGTCTACTGAACACTGTGGTGAGAATTGCACCAAGTCTACTGAACACTGTGTTTGGAATTGCACCAAGTCTACTGAACACTGTGGTGAGAATTGCACCAAGTCTACTGAACACTGTGGTGAGAATTGCACCAAGTCTACTGAACACTGTGGTGAGAATTGCACCAAGTCTACTGAACACTGTGGTGAGAATTGCACCAAGTCTACTGAACACTGTGGTGAGAATTGCACCAAGTCTACTGAACACTGTGGTGAGAATTGCACCAAGTCTACTGAACACTGTGGTGAGAATTGCACCAAGTCTACTGAACACTGTGGTGGGAATTGCACCAAGTCTACTGAACACTGTGTTTGGAATTGCACCAAGTCTACTGAACACTGTGGTGGGAATTGCACTCTCTACCGAAAACGTGATCTCAGAAAGTATAGATTCCGGCAGGTGTGTGTGTGTGTGTGTGGGGGAGGGGAAGGGGGTGTGGAAGATAGGTGCCATAATTTGTATTTTGTATTTGATGCGATATGTTCATTTCTCACTTAATTGTTGTGATTTCTTATTTGATGTACATTGCTTCTTCTCTCACTAAATCTTTTCTCTTTTAGTTTATTCTTTTTTTTCCCTACATTTGACTAACCTTGTTGCTCACTTGACTGCATCCTTTTTTTCATTTGATGTATCCTGTTTGTCTTGTTATTGATCTTTTTAAAAATATTTCACACCTGAATATCAG